AGTATGATGATCTGCAGGGAAACAAAGATGATGAGCTTGGAAGGCCATAGAAACTAGCCCCTCCTCCGGGAGGTGCCAAGGAACCGAACTTTTGTCCCCTTTTTGCCAGCGTTCGCTCTCGCTTGTGCGCATTTTGGTGGCCTCCGAGAGCCTGGGAGCTGTAGAATTTCCTTTGGCAATAGTTGCATGAGAAAACTCTTAGCTCAGTGCTGCTCTCATTGCCTTGGTGGTCGCCTGATTGGTGATCATCGGGACAAGTCTCCGAGGAATTCGAGTCGAAGCAGTCGATGAAATTGAGCTCCGGCTTCGATCCTTGATCGGAATTGTTGATGGGAAGGCTCAGGTCCAATACTAGATGGACATCCTTTGTGTCTTCTTGGTCATTTTCTTCATAACTATTTCCTTCTTCTTCTTGAACTTTTAGTTTTTGATCTTTTTGTCTCTCCATTGACATGACTTTTAGGCTTGAAGTCTCAGAAAGACATGGATCTTCTTCGGGTACTGGAGGCTTCATGTAGAGATGATAATCTTTTAGGCTTGAAAAATTCTCTACAATTTCTTTTGTGGAAGATTGAGAGATTGGCTTATTGGGTTTTTGGTTTAATTTGAAATGGTAATAAATGTTCCGTTCTATGTATAGAAGGAATATCCCACTATTTAACAGTTACAAGGTCTTAATATAACAAGACTTAGAGAATAAGACTTAAGAGAGAGAGAGAGAGAGAGAGAGAGAGGGTGAAGAAAGTTGCAAACTTGCAAAGCATTTTGATTGAAACTCATGAGGAACACCCATGTACGTCTTTTCCTTGCCTGTACCCCATTGAATGTTTTCCCAACTTCTCCTTTTTGTCTTCCAACCTTTTCTCTGTGCATTTTCTTGTGGTTTTCGAGTCTACCCTTTCCTTTTCTTTTAATGGTTTGTTTTCTCTCTCTTTTTATTCAATTGTATACCCTGAATTTATCGTTGTTTTAACAACTCGAACCCCAGACTTTCAATGATGTTACGGATAGGATTCTAAAGTTTAAAATTTATTACAATTGTAGTCCAATAACTAACAGTTGTCTATTAGTAGACGGAAAGGTCCAACAATTTTTGCACAAATATACACGAAAATTTTTGGCCATTGACAAATTGGACCACAGACTTGTAAATTTTGATATTAGGGACCTTAATTATCGTCCACTATTTAACGTGCGTTATTGAGTTGTCAATAGTGTTTAATATTGTCAAATTTAACGTTTCAAATGCAAAAATAAAAAATCTAAAGCTCAACTTACAAATAACCAAAAGTTCAGGACGCATTTCTATTATTTACCATTTCTTAATTTATACACTCATGTGTAAATAGCTCATTTGCCTACGTACTACAAATAATCCAAGACAACAAAATCTCTGCCTTTTCATCTGTGGATCCCTTTTGCATATTATTCAATGTAGATTGGACTAGCTATTGCCTAGTAGTCCTACGAAATATGTGATTTTATAAAAACCTTGAATTGATTTACAAAATCTCTTTACAGATGTACTCTCTGTCTTTATCCTGCATAATGCTGGAAACTTTATCATGCATAATATATCTTATTAGTTGATGACTAATGAAATTGTCCAAAAATATGCATTATCTAATGATGCAAATGATTGACTTTAAACATAAGTGAAGCAGAAACAAATGAATACAATGATGAAACTGTTGATAAATTCAAAGGTCTACGTAAATAATTATAATATACAAAAATATACTTGTATTCCTATAAATTTTATTACTTTGCATTAAACTGAGATCATATTTTAAGCTGCCTTCTTGAAGAACAAATGGCTAATAGGTCAACAACTATGTAGACCATGATAAGGCAAAATATTCCACATCCAAACCAAACTTAAAAAGTATTATTATAGTCTTGAGATGTCTTAATCTAAGTCGACGGGCCGGTTTCATAAGATTTAAGAATCTGCTAATTGCTATATTATAACGTCTAGAAATGAAACATAACTTTTGTCTGCATCCATTAAAAAGCTATTGTCTTGTACCAATAATTTTTACTGTTTTACTTGGAGATTCGGAGTCCTTTTCTTCACAAGAAATTTCGTAATGTGAGTTATTATGATCTCGTTCAGTTTACGGATTTGAGTTAACATGTAATTTTATGTGAGAGCTTTTCACTGTAGCAGAAAAAATTAGAAGTGACTTTTTGTGAGAGCTTTTAACTACAACAAAACTGGAATTGAAAACTCAAGTTGGTGAAATGAACAATGCTAATATATATTATCTCACTTGCAGACACCTAGTATGTAGTATTTATATATAGAGCCCGTACCGATCTGCCTGTGACATTTCTTGTTCACCTGTCTAACATTATTTGTGCATTTATATAACATTCATTTTGTCTAATTGTAACATTCGATAAAATGTAATCCACCACCACATTACACAAAACTTGCTTCAATGTTACTAGTGATAAAGCTAAAAATTTATGTCAGTGGAGATTAATAACTGAAACATAAATTTAATGGCTACAACAGTAATTTTCAAAGTTCTAATGGGACTATAGGTAGTAATATAACACAAATATATTTTATATACATAGTATTTTTAAGGAATAAAAATTTTGAGTTGGGGCTTAAGCCCCCAATAAGCATTCTTTGGCTCCGTCATGAATATTCTCATAGTATACAGTTTATATAAAAATGTTACACTTATCATATCATATGACTACCAAACATAAGACCATACCTCTATATATATATATGCGTGTTCTTTTACCTGAGAAGTTATAGCAGGTGTTTTGTCAGGGAAAAGGATGAAAAACAGATGAAATTTAGAATACTAAACTATGCATTGAGCGGTACAGGAAAAAGAATCTCTTGTATATATTATGTCCGTTATATAAATATATATATATATATATATATATATAATATCACAGGACCACCTAGACTAGCTAATGAAGACAAAAAACGTACCACTAATCTCTTTAGTCTTTTTTCGTTCGAATCTGAATCTTCTCTACACCATTATCCAACAGTTTAACTTTTGTCTCAGAAAGTTGTATATATCAACAATAATACTTTTTCTTATCATGCACCGCTTTCCATCTTCAAGTACTGTTATCATTTGTATGATAATGAAATATTTTCCCTTTAAGTTAAATAACAAATTAAAATTGCATAAAAGAAATTCTACAGTTAGAATATAAAAGGCCTTGTTATAAAATGGCCGGATAAAATTATTTTGATACTTTCTATTATAATAAAACATCTTGCTGGTAGCATGTGTTTTTAATAATATTAAAATGATACTTTCATCTTTAAAAAAATGTTTTTTCAATACTCATAAACTGATTGTTAAGATATAAAATGTTCATTCTATTATTCTCACAAACTAACAACACGCTAATATTTTTTTTTTTTATAAAAGTTATAAAAATACTTTAAAATATTTAAAAATCAAAAATCAAAATAAGTTAAAATGTTTTTAGAAAATATTTTTAAACTTATTAGTTTCTATTTAACTAATGAAAATGGTAATTTGGAGATTATATATCTCAAAAATGGGTTTTAAAGTAAAAAAATATTATTTTTTAAAGGTGAATGTACTATTTTAATATTATAGAAAATATATACTACTAGCAATATGTTTTGTTATAACAGAAGGAACTAAATTGATTTTGTCCCTAAAATGCTTTTTAAGGCAATTACACCCTCGCAAATGATTTTGAAAATTTGAAACTTGAACGGGATTTTTATCAGTAATTTGATAATAAAAAAGTAGGGAGAACTACATAATATCCCTTGTGTATCTAAATTAGAATGGATTTTTTTTGTTTTTCAAAATTTGACATCAAAAAGCCATTTTGAATCATATAGCATCAATTAATTCCTCATATTATTTCGATGGTTTTGTATTGTGGATGTAACTAAGGTATTGTTTCTAACTAAATAACTGCAAGTCTAATGAGATTGGAGTAAGGAGAAATAAAAGTAATACCGTCGGTTACTGGGTTGGTGATTATCTGTGATTGTAATAGAAAGAAGAAAATAAGCCAAGACTTGAGATGAATTAAAATTAATAGGCCAGTAGTTTACATAAGTTAATAAATATGTCAAATTACTATTTTTGTTCATAACTTGCTTGGTTATGAACTATAATTTGACAAGTTATTGTTCATAATTCACGATTTTTATCCGTAACTTGTCTGGTTATGAACCATAACTTGACAAGTTTGTCCATAACTTATCTAGTTATAAACCATAACTTAACAAGTTATGACCTATTAATTTCTATAACTAAAAATTAACCTATATACTTTCTTAAACTTTTTATATTGACCTATTTCCTACTATTTCTCTTATAAATTTCCAACGTACGTAGTTTTTCCCTTGAATAGTGTTTCTTACGGACTTACACTGGTGGCTATTGTTTTTTTTTTTTTTTTTTTTTTTTTTTTTTTTTTGTAAGAATAACTTGTGACTATTGTTAACAAATCCTAAGCCCCTATTCCAGAAACTTTCACAAAAAGCATTTCTTAGGTAAAATTATCAATTTCATAGGGTGCATGATAATATAAAATAATAGTAACCCAAAAGTCTTTTTTTAAATTTTTTTTTTTTTTTTTTTTTTTTGCTAATCTAGTAACCCAAAAGGTTATAATACCCATTTTTCATCCCACAAAGGGGGAAAAAAAAAAATGCTAAATACACTTTCAAATGGCTTGAATAGCTTGGTGCACCATCCGATTGTTGAATCATGTAGGCGGGGGGGTCCACATGGGTCCCACAATAATAAGCGGTCCAGATCCTGGACTACTCGTATCCATTGGCATTCTCATGTCCCAAATTTCTTTTACAAAATGCCTCTCCTGCAGTACTAGTGCTAGTACAAAAATTACAAATATTTCCAAAAGACATCCCCAAAATCATATTGGACGTGACTTAACTCTCTGATCTTGCTTATGCCATCAAATTAGGATCAGTTAGTCTTGATTTAGGTGACATATGGTTGAATTTCTCAGTTGCTCATTGGAAATGTTAGGTAAGCCTCCAAACTTTAGAAGACTAAGCCAATGAAATTTCTTTTGTAATCACATCTTTAGTTGGGACAGTAGCACTCTAGGAATCTAGTATCATAGGCAGCACAGCACACTTAGCAATCATGAATAACTTGTGACTATTGTTAACAAATCCTAAGCCCCTATTCCAGAAACTTTCACAAAAAGCATTTCTTAGGTAAAATTATCAATTTCATAGGGTGCATGATAATATAAAATAATAGTAACCCAAAAGTCTTTTTTTAAATTTTTTTTTTTTTTTTTTTTTTTTGCTAATCTAGTAACCCAAAAGGTTATAATACCCATTTTTCATCCCACAAAGGGGGAAAAAAAAAAATGCTAAATACACTTTCAAATGGCTTGAATAGCTTGGTGCACCATCCGATTGTTGAATCATGTAGGCGGGGGGGTCCACATGGGTCCCACAATAATAAGCGGTCCAGATCCTGGACTACTCGTATCCATTGGCATTCTCATGTCCCAAATTTCTTTTACAAAATGCCTCTCCTGCAGTACTAGTGCTAGTACAAAAATTACAAATATTTCCAAAAGACATCCCCAAAATCATATTGGACGTGACTTAACTCTCTGATCTTGCTTATGCCATCAAATTAGGATCAGTTAGTCTTGATTTAGGTGACATATGGTTGAATTTCTCAGTTGCTCATTGGAAATGTTAGGTAAGCCTCCAAACTTTAGAAGACTAAGCCAATGAAATTTCTTTTGTAATCACATCTTTAGTTGGGACAGTAGCACTCTAGGAATCTAGTATCATAGGCAGCACAGCACACTTAGCAATCACATCTGTTTTAATCTTCCCAGATTGCCTTAGGAAATAATTCTTTGACAATTTGAAAGATATGTGAGAACCATCTCACAATAAGGTTTTTTTTTTCTTTTTTTTTTTTGTAAACATATGCGTTCCTTTTGTTTAATGTTAAGTGAAAACTTTGGTAGGATATAAAAAATAAAATGCTCTATTACAATGATACAATTTTTTATCGTTAGATTTTCATCAAGTTTCTTTTAGTTGTCACACTTAATTTAATATAATATAATTCTAATTTAATCAGATGAAATAAATTTGATTTGACAATTGAAACTATATTATACTCACTTAAAAAAAAAAACTTTATTCCACTGCTGAGGTATTTTTTTCACACCCTACTGTGAACTCTCCAACTCCGCATTTGAGTTTTTAATTTGAGTTGATACGTGATGTTGTGTGAGAGCTTTTTAGTGTAGTAAAAAAGTTAGATGTGACTGTTCCTGAGAACTTTTTACTGTAGTAAAACTCGAATTCTAAACTCGAATCAGCGAAAAGAACGAGATTTTTCACTTCTAAAAGGAAAAGTGACGAGAAAAGGGTAACTCCAGCATTGAACTTGACAAGATTTTAAAGAAAAGCTCTGTGAAATTCGGGAAAAACAAATAAAACAAAACATACAGCTGTATATTATGATAATTGAGATTATGAATAAGATGGCTAATTATGAAGTGCTATATATTTTGTGACAATTTGGTGTACAAACTATTGGAAACCAATGCACGTGGTAAGAGTAACTACTTTTTTGAGACGTAAAGGACATTTCCTTATCTGAAATTAATGCCCACAAAAATATAGATTACGTTTTTTGCTTAAGGTAGATTATAAGGATCGAGAAAGGGACAAAAAACTTTTAATTGACTACAAATAAAACGTTATTAAAACTCATGGTAGAAAGAATTAGTACTTGACTAATTAAACTCGTCTCATTTGCTGAATCCCCTTTATCCTTGCATTTTTTTTTCTTATTTTTTGTTTTCCTTTTTTTCTCGTCAGTCATGTCACAAATGTGTGATGAAATAGTTATATCTAATACTGACATACGGATTAGCCAAAGTTTTCGACTACTTTTTTCTTTGTAGTGTTGTTTTATATTTTTGCTGAGATAATGGAATGATATGGATATGAGAATTAGTGAGAAGGTGGGATTTCTGCATGGATCACGCTACATTGTTTGTTAGCTCAAAGAATTTTGAAACTTCGCTTGTTGAATGAAATTGAAAGAAAAGACAAAAAGAGTTTTAATATATATCAGAAATGTTTAAGTGTATTAATTAACACAAATCCCTAATTAAGACCATATTACAAACTTTCTATACAAGCATCCTTGCCTAGCCGTTTTTATAGAAAAAACAACAAACTGGAGATGCTATAATATATGTTATAACTTGAGAGTCTCATTATAAGCTCAGACTTAATTTTCCCTGTTAGGTTCAAACTAGTGACGTCCACTATAGTATTACTAAATTCATACGTTTATTTTATTAGCATTTTTTTCTATGTGGTCTTTTTGAGACTCTTTGAACTTTTAAACCATGTTATAGTACAAGCTAAAGTAAGGTTCTTATAATTTGTTTATTATCACTTAACAATTGTCATCTTATTAAGTTTTAGAAAAAAATAACAAGCACATTAAATATGTCTAGTACATTTAGGTCCCCAAATAATTATTGGATTTTATTATGATATTTACATTTTATCCTTGTTCGGCAACCAAACAAAAGCTGAAAAGTTGAGGAAGTACAAACATACCTCTCCTCTTAGCCAATGCACTTGTTCTTGTCCCTATTAGTTCCACATGTGTAAACTAAATGGATTTGACACCCAAAGTGAAGAAAAACCCACATGGGAACAAATAAACTTCCATTGGGAGAGACCAATAAGAGAATGACACATTTCAGCCTTGGAGAGCTTGGTTCCTCGTCCTCAGAGCCGTAGGGACGGCGACAAGTGGCCGACAAGGAGATGGAGATAGTTGAAGGTGAAGAAGAGAGCTCCTAGTGTTATGCTCTTCATAATGTTATCTTATGCTAAATGACTTTCATTGTCATGATCAATCAAGTGCACAAGCATGTGACATTCGTAAAGTAAAACATTTTATGTCCAACTGAGATGAGCAATAGAATTTGGCAATACCTCAATGAAACATGAAAAAGTGTATACATAGAGATCTAATTGGCTGCGTGCGAGTGCATGGACCAATATTGTCCTAATTCTGGCTTTTTGCTTGCTTTGTCTAAATCAAATTGGACCCGAAAATCTTTTGTGAGATTTCCTTGTCTGCACAATGTGTAGCAGTAAGTGTTTGAATGTAGTTCAAGTTCTCAGAGGAAGTCTTTGAGACTTTTACATCACCATAGAAAAGAGATACCAAACTACTCGGCGATAACAACTTGATCTTCCATCCCACTTGAAAAAGTCGCACGAAAATTCATGACATCTCCATCTTTTTAATTAATTTTTATGACTTTCTTTTTACTGACCACTGCTTTGGCCCCTTTCTAAGCTAGAAAAGTGATTGACCTGTCCCCCAGGACGTCTAGGTCTAATAATGCAAAACTCATGTCCACATTACTTGGCCCAAAAAAAGGTCACATATTTGTTCCTATTATAACATAACATATTGTTTATAGTTTTGGGAATCGTCGTTTTCATATCTATGCCGTTGTTTCAAATCTAATGTCGTTTTAAGATGCTTTCGTTTCCCGATGTTGCCGTTTTCACATTGCTGTTATTTCTGGAAACTTTTCACCGCCTTTTTTTGTTTGTTGCCGTTTCCAAGCTGATGTTGTCTTCACTAATATGTCGTTTTTCGTATTTTCTCAGTTTTGTATTTTACAATTACAACATACGTTTAAACTATAGTTTATTTTTCCCCTCGAAATAAAAAATTTAATCTATTTTTCTTATTTTGACAATTGTTTTTAAACTTCTGAAAAGAATATTGAGGTAAACCTGTACAAAGAATTTGTGCATTAGAAATAAAATATCTGTAAATTGTAAAAGATAGCAAAAGGGGACAAAAAGAGATGCAAATGAAAATATGCATCTAGTAACGTATATCAAATCCCATTGTACAACGTGTTCAACATATAGAGTGATAAACCTTTTCAAAACTTAAAAAAAAAAATAATAATAATAATGGAAGAGTATGTACACCATCCCATTTTTGTATGTATATCTATCTATATAAGTCGAAAAAATTGATACAAAACTTTGTTGGTGTCTTTAGCAATGCATGGATATCTTGTTTTTCATGTGTGACGAATAGCCTTGGCCATCACAAGGCAACGCATTCTGCAATAAAGATGACTCAAGCACATTGGACTATCCACAAGAACAAATGTCTCAATAGACTAACAAAAAGATGACCACTATATAGACCACGTAGGATACAACACTTAACCACAAGTAGCAGCCAAAGCACAGCTATATGTTCACTTGCTCAACCAGTAAATAAATATAAGAAACGTGCAGACAGATGCAACTAGGGAAAGTATGATGGTATCCATGGACTTTTTCCGCTTTATTGCAGAAAGAATATGGTTTACCTGCCAAATCACACCAAAATAGTACGTCAATAAACTTGCATATACTTAGGAAGCCGAGAAAGAATCTAAGCATTTTATATAAACAATCCCCTTATGCTCTCTTTGCAGTGGTCAGTGACGGTTTCGTTTCAAGATTACTTACTTTCACATGGCATACTGGATTTTTGTTTTTAGAAGCTAGCCCGTCCTTTGCAAGGCAGTAGCATATGAATTTGATTTCATAAGCTATTGAGATAACTCTACAATGTTATTTCAATGCTAAAATAGTAACTGCAAAAATGATGAGCACATTCATAAGTCATATACCGTTGGTAGGCGGCTGCTAACATTGCTGAGCTTCAAATTGATGCCTCCAAATGTTGATCGTTGAAGAACAAGAGAACCGAGTGTTGCTTGAGCTTGTGAAATTACAGTATCCATCTGCACCAGCAGAATAAAAAAGCGAACAACTTAAGTACAAGTGTCATTGGAAATTGAGCAGTTATACATAATTATATTTTTCTATTGGTGTACATCTATAACCAGGAGTAAATGATTCGTTTCAGATCCTTCCAGGAAGGCAGGTACTATATGAAATAACCATAAATGATAAAACATGTGACCGGAAGGGGGAATAAAATAAAAGGTATTGACTTAATATTTTCCATATAGGAACCATGAGTCTCCTGCTCAAAATTCAAATCAAATTGAAATGATCAACAAGTAAAATGATAGAATTGCCAAGCTTCGGCCAGTATTAAAGAACCATGTGGTAAAAGGGTCATTCATTGACAAAAGCTGAATATGGATTAGCTGATTTCCAGTCATCCACTAACAACAATCAAAATCCATCCAATACTTGCACATCTACCTGTCCTGTACTTCTGCTAATAGATGCATGCTCTTTTAGTAGAGCTTGTTCGGCAGAACCACTACCATCTTCTAACTCTAATCTTGTTCGATCAAACTCTCTAAAATCCTCAAGGAGTGAAGCGTGCTCCTTCTTAGCCCTAAGGCTGGAGCGGAGACGATAAAACTCCTGCATTTGAAACATTTTTAACACCAAGTTAATGCCTGAGATGTTCATTTGTACTCAGAAACTTATGTACTTCTAATCTTCTATTAAAAAATAAATGGAAAAGAAAAACAAAAAGAAAAGTCGAAGGAAATAACTTACCTACCGCATAGCATGAGGCCAAAACATGGGGTCTCCTTTTAAACGTAAAGAGCGAAAAAATACTTAAAAGAAAAATCAATCAACTTTTGACAAGCTTCTATGAACAACAATACAATGATGATGCTAACAATGAAATAGGTAGTAAAAGCTCATAAGAGATATGTGTTGTATTCATGTCCTACAAAGTCAAGCAAGCTTAGACAACTTTTTGTGGACCCTTCAACAACAACAAGTAGTTCAACTGCAGAGACACTAAACTGCATCCAATTCTAGTAAAGCTTTCCTCCTAAAAAGTAAATAAGAAAACACGGTACCTGAGTGAGATCCTGAAGAATTTCTTGATGCCTAGTCAATGTATGAGAAACCATTTCTGAGCCACCTGATGAAACCCAAGCTTGCATCTGTGAGTTAACTTGTTGGAGCTGCTTTAACAGTCTGTCGATCCCAGATTCAAGGTCATTCTCTATGGCATCAACTTTTGTAGAATCCTTCAAGGAAACTAGTTTTCGATACGAATTCATCTGCTCATCCAATTGAGCTTCCAGCTTCCTAGCCTGAGATCAAGCATACACAAAAAAGATTCACCATAAGAGAAGTAATTAATTCACACCTCATAGACAAAGATAATAATGACATTTGGGACTGCATTGCCCAACAAACATCAAGTTTTGCTACCTAATAGTGAAAAATATAAGATCACTACATAAACTCGCCCAATACTGACCAAAAGATCCAGTTCATCTTACGTGTGCATCGGATCAAGCATATACCTGCAAGTACCACACTGCTCTACGCGTGCAAGATTAAATACTGAAAACCGTAGTTCATATTTGCCACAGTTTCTGCAACAATTCCAGTCAACAATCTCCTAATTTAACTATAATTCTTCCTCTTCACGTAATGTCCAAACTGTATTACCATCAAATTACGTGTTCTGAACGATTTTAAGAGCATCTACAGGACTTGATAAAATGTTAAACTTCACAAAATTCATCCTCAACTTTCTCGCTTGGTCAATAGATCCTCTAATGGAGGATCGACGATAAAGTTTCAGAGATCACATTCTAAAAGAAACGAATTTGAGAAATCAATTCATAAAATTGAAAACCACACCGCCCACGTCATGATCCCGCAATTGATTAGAAAACGAGGGCACAAAAACACACAAGAACTTCAATGATATTCGTTTAATTCACTGAAATTTCTAGGTAATCAGCCAAAGCTTAAAAAAATCAAGCCGGAAAACTTCAGTTTCGAACATAATTCAGAACTTTCCATCTCTTTCTCGTATATTCTCGGAACCCAAACACGGGAAGAAAAAAAAACAATTTTTCTTGGCAATACCTGTTTGCGAAGGGCGTCCCATGAGCTTGGCACCTCCATGGATGCCACCGACAACATCAACAAGAAGAAAAACAAAGATCGATCTTCAGAAATTACTTTCTGATATATAAATTGTGAGTCTGGTAAAAAAAAAAAAAAAACAAACAAAAATCCTGCTTTTTCTTCTTTGTTCGTTATTTGTCAAAGATCGATGGTAGAGAGAGAAAATAATGGGAGGGGGTATAAGGATAGGGGTAGTTTGGCAACATGGACAGGCTGTCCGCTCTCAACGGCAATTTGGCGAATTGCGTTTGCGTGCGCCTTAATACACTACTGTTATTTATGAGATATTCTTTACCGTTTTTAGTGCGTTCATTTTATTAATTTAAATTTAAATTTTAAATTTTATTAGAGTAAAAAATTTTAAAAAATAATTATATTAAAATTTTTTATTATAATAAAAAGTTTTTATATAAAATTATATTTTAATTAGAATTAAAAATTTAAATTAATAAATTAAACGGACCCTAAATAATTATTAATATAAAAAAAAAGAATTCAGTTGTACGTTTTGATAGTGATTTTTGAAGCTCAAAATTAATTATCTAGCCTTTCACAGTTAAAATTTGTGTTTAAAAAAAATTATAAAAAGTGATTCTTAAAGAACTTTTAAAGAATTTATAGTCAAAATCAGAAGCAGTCAAACTGTAACTTTGACTTTTAAATTGTGCGACAATCATCTTAAAGTATAATTAATGATACTTTTATAATACTCATAATACTTTTAGAATCAATACTTGTATAATTTTAATTTACGAACACTCAATTACTTTTTATAATAACTGTTTTTTTTTCAGTACAATTAACATCAATTTTTTAAAAATCTACAGCACTATCAAATTTGTACTAAATGGGTCGATGAAAATCTATTATTGTATCATATGAATAATGGGGATTTATTCTCAATTCTATTTTTCAGTAACATATTGCGTTTATAAAGTGTGCTAGCATCATGTGGCATTTTCGTCCTTTCATTTTTTTTAAAATTATTTGGAGAGCGTGTTGGTGTTCATGAAAATGATTTTTGTTTAGTTTAGTTTTTTTATCCTCAACATGAGATCATACAAATTTGATTATTTATATAAATCTCTTAATAATAAATCAATAATATAGGGGAAGCATTGGCAACGATAAACAGTCAACAGGCCGGTGGATTATTTGACGGAGATAAACGACCATGGGTTAAAAACTACATTCTACATATAACATGAATTTGTCGTTTGTTACTGCTACAAAATTTGTGTCGATAGTAGTCCATAAAACAATATTATACGCCGCGTTTAGTCGTTTACTAAGTATGGGTTTTAGAAACAAAACGACACGTAGTTTTTTTTTTGAAGATGAAGAAAGAAGTGGTATATCTGCATATGCTATGGTGCAAACGACATCTTCTTGTATCTTCTCAAAGTTATGTATGTACACGTGCAGTACACATGTATTGAGCAAATAGGCCCAATATGTAGTTTCTTTGGGCCCGAACCCGTAAAACCTGAGGCCCAATTCCCAAATAACGCTAGGTCTAAAACCCTGAATCCCCCCACCCACCGCCATTCCCACTCTCTTCTTCCTCACAAAGCACAACCAGAAAATCTCCGATTCCGGTAATTCCTAATTTCCGATTCATTTTTATTTTCCTTTATTTTTTGGGCTTTCAACGCGAAGTTTTATTTTTTTTGGTTATGGGTATCAATTTTTTTAATTTTGTTTCCTGTGTATGTGGTTAAAGGAAGAGAAAAATGGCCGAAGAGGAGGCAAAGCCGTTGACATACATACCGGAGACGATATTGAAGAAAAGGAAAAGCAATGAAGAAGTTGCCTTGAGGAGGAAGCAACAATTGGAGCAGAGGAAATTCGGGAATAAGAAGAACATGCAAGAGTTTATCAGAAAGCCCGAGGAGTTCGTCAAAGAGTATCGTTACAGGGTAAACAATAGCTTTTTTTAGATGCTAAAGATGTGAATTTTGATGCTATTTATGCACACACGTACTACGTGATTTGAAGTCCTTTTTGTGTTTGGAGAAAGTTTTCAGGCCTTTCCTTTATGCCTTTTATTCAATTTGGGAGTTGGGTTTTTTTTTTTTGGATAGTAGTTTCTCTTCATAGTTGGGAATTAGATTGCCTTGGGAAACAAAGTTCAGGCATTCTTTTTTTTTTTGAAATGCTCAAGTGTTCAGAAATTTTTGATGGTGTTGTCGTGTTGCTATGTAATTGCGTTCAAGCATCTCTATTTACTATTGAAGTGTACACTAAAGTTTGTTATTGTATCTTAGATGTGTATTTTCCCAAAGGAAAGAAGAACCTTTGAAAATAACGACTTCAGTGCCATTGATGACCCAAGTCAAATTTTTTTTTTTTAAATTCCATGTAGCTCTTATTTCATTTCATTTACGATGCTTGAATATTCTTTTCACATGCCACCTCCGTTTAGGAAGTGGATCTCGTCCGGATGAAACGCAGAATGAAAAGAAAGAGGACGGAATTGGTGGAACCAAAGTCGAAGCTTCTCTTCATTGTTCGCATACAAGGGTGCGTTCTTTCGATTTTGTATGAATGCTTTCTGTAATCTGTATTTCTATCACCTACTTTCTTTCTTATTTTCTCATTATCCAGGAAAAACGACATGCATCCAGCAGTTAGGAAGACCCTGTACAACCTGAGATTGAGGAAAGTCTTCAGTGCGGTTTTTGTGACAGTGAATGCAGGGATTCTTGAGAAATTGCAAAAAGTGGAGCCGTATGTTACCTATGGGTATGAGATGCTAATCCTTCTGCATTTATATTTGATTAGGCATATAACATATCACATATTATCTTGGATTGCATATCTGCAAGTGAAGCATTACCCGTGAAAGTCATGTGTAATGTAGATAATTGGTTTCCTGCTTTGGGCTTAGTCACTTGCTATACACCCACTTATTTTTTAGATGTTCAATTGATAACACTGCAGAAGTAGCGTCTGCTGACCACCTGACCCTATGGACTAGAAGTAAAGCTTTTTACTTCTAGTGATTAATTTATGTTCCTTTAGGTTGATCTTTAGATATGTCTGCCGATCTCTAGGTGCTTGTGGATCTTGTAAGAGGGATCGCTGGTAGGAGGATCATTATGCGTGTGTATTTTCTTTTTCTCATCAGGAGAGTAGTTTGATAGAATTTGAAACATTGATAAAATTTTAAGGGATGTGATAAAGTATTGTATTGCATGGTGGTGATAATGGTCCTTAAGTAGAGATACATGGCTAGAAGTTTGAAGTTTCTATTCCCTTCTGTCCTTATCCAGAAACTTTTGTATTAGTAGCCATGTTTTATGGTACTAATGGGAGTTTATGTGCATTTTGAAGGTACCCTAACCTCAAGAATGTGAAAGAGCTGATTTACAAGAAAGGCTTTGCAAATGTAGACAAGCAGATGGTGCCTCTTACAGATAACAACATCATCGAGCAGGTACTAAATTCCTCAATCTTTAGGCATTATACAAACACGCATATGTACAAAAGTTACAAGTACACTTCTTACGAAGGGAAAAAGATGGAAAATTTATCGATATGTTGCTTACTGCCGAATGACATTAACTTCCCAGTTGCTTTGTGTTTCTCTCTATAATACGACATTTCTAACCTTCCCCTTATCTGGCAGGAACTCGGGAAATATGGAATTTTATGCATTGAAGATGTTGTGCACGAAGTTGCTAATGTTGGCCCCCATTTTAAGGAGGTTACTCATTTCTTATGGCCATTTCTGCTCAACAAGCCAAAAGGATTAAAAGGGTCAAAAACAGTATACAAGTTGGGGGGAGAAGCCGGCAATCGCGAGGATCATATCAATGAACTAATAGACGAGATGAATTAGAATGGAGAGAAGTAGAGCAGCTGAGTGAAAAAATATGTTTTCCTTGTGGCCTGATTGTCTAATTCTTACCTCTTTTGTTTCTATAAGACAATTTCAATGATGTTGTAATTTTCCTTTGACCCATATATTAGTAAAATTTTGCGAGCTATTCAGTGAGAAGCAGTCAACAAAAATCTCCTGCCAATGCTGTTCATAGTTCATACTTTCCAGTCTCCACAGCATTTGCCTCTTTTTTGTTTTTGTTTTTTGTTTTTTGGCACAAAAAGTTACTGAAAGTTATACAATTTTTTGATATAGTGTGGTAGAGAATTTTATGAAGAGTAGGGACAAAAAATGTTGACAGAAATCCTGAATCTCGATCAATGAAGACACAAGTATAAACTTTCTTCTTCTTCTTCTTTTGGTCTAACCTACAACCACCATTATGTATCAAAATCCAAAAATTAAACACAACTGAAAATGAGTAAAAGTAAAAACAAAATGGAGAACTGCCAAAGAAACTGACGAAAATTGAATGTTGATGGCAGAAAAATGTTTTCCCATCCTATAAAAGGCAAAATATTCAAACTTTTTGCCTTTTTATTCGAACAAACAGGGTTTTGTAGATCGAAAACCTCAAAAAGTCCCAAGTTGAATCCTTAATTTCTCAAACAGGAAATGGAAAACGAAGATCCCTGGCTAGCCCTAGACAAGTTATACCACATTCTCTTCTGCTTTTCTTTGACCCTTGTCTCCTCCACCTTGGCCAACCTAACTGGCAATCCCTTCCTTCGGCGCTACTCCATTTCTCTCGGATCCATCGCCTCCCTCCTCGCCGGCGCGGCCAAAGAGGCCGTCGACGAGCTCGGATTCTTCAGGTCTGCAGGAGCCTCCGGAAAAGACGCCGTCGCCGATGTCCTCGGCGTACTCCTCGCTGCGCTTGGTCTCTCTCTGCTCAGGCATTCGTCTCGACTCAATCGCGAAATGGATCAGGCTCAGGCACGAGGGCTTTCTCTGGTCTGAATTGGTAATTTTGTCACGATTTTTTCGCTCGGTTCTCGAATCTGTTTGGATGCTGAGAAAGTTCGCGTTGACTGCGGGATTCGGAGCAATGATAAAGAGGAATAGCGAGTCTCTTCAAATTGGTTCACTGAAAAGTTACTCGGTTTAGTTTGGGTAAGTTGTTCATTGTTATTACTTTTTTTTTTTGGTATTGTAATCTGATTATCTTTGTCTGCTCAGATGTTATTCCCTTTGTATACTTTTTGTAAGAGCTCTATATTTAGAAATTTAACCACGTTCTCTGATAATTAAAGAGTGATCAATACGAGATTATCAATATTGATGCGCATGAGAAACTTAAAATCTGAAAAAGGTTAATACTGGATTTTCGTGTAAATGAAAAAGCCCAAAACTTTATAGGTTGAGGATGCTCAAGATAGAGTGTTGTTAACAATAATGACACGAGTATATTGCCTGGGAATTGGATGATTCTATTCTACTAAAGCACCAAGTTAGTGTTTTTTTAGACTTTGCAGTTTTAACGATCTTATTTGGGGGAAAAAAACAGGATTTCGGCTTAAATAATGAAAATGATGAGGATTAGTTTTGAAGTCGAGACTTGGGAAGGGCAATTCATGAAGATAGGACTGGGAAAAGCACACTGGTTGGAGTGCTTTGTATGTGTAAAATTAAGATAAGATAGCAGCTTTAGCATTACATGATTAATTACAACTACGAAACGAAAAAAAGGACCCGTGAAACAACTAGCGTCGAGAGCTTTATGAGCTTATCTCTCTGTTTCTGCTTTTTGGTCGCTCTAGTTTATTTTAAAAAACTACTATAGTTCTGTTCCGAGTGGATGAAGGTCACACTTCTCTTCTTAGCTTCTCTTTAAAGTTTCTCGCGGGTGAGGAGAGATCTCTTCTTGATTATTGATGAACATGACTAATGCTGTTTTATTCTTTTAATGACTATGTACCAAGAAGAACTCCTTATCTATACTACTAACTCATCCAGAGTTGTCTTCCTTTTGAACCTCCGCTCGAACTATCTGCATTACCTTCTGATGGCATTTCTAGATAATTCATATATGCCTAATGATAGAGATTGTACAATCAATCACCTCCTTAAGCTCCTTGTCGGGGCAGGTTTATCATGATTGTCTCCATTTTCCTCTGGCAGCTTGACAGCAGAGTAGACTCCTGCTCCGCAAAGTGCTCCAAGGATCGGTGCAGTTAGGTAGACCCATATTGCTTCGAAGTTGTTTGCAGCTATTGCTGGCCCTAAGGTTCTCACTGGATTCATCGAAGCTCCTGTTGCTTCCCTACAAAAGTAGAAAAGAAAAAAAAAAAAAAAAGATTCTAGTAATTGTATTTTTACAAATCGTAGTTTCAGACATCGTCATCATCCTTTGGATAAATCAAATAGAAATAATTCTATGGTACCAAGTAGTTCACCAAAACTTACTACAAAATGGTGTGGAAGGTGATGCTTTGTATTGTATTTTGACAAAGCATTTGAGTTAGTTATGCAGTTGGAAACTGGCCAGTCAACTTCACATTAGCTTTTTTAAACAATTCAGAGAAAAGAAAACATTGCTTTTATCGCACGCGCATGACTTAGCTGGTACGTACATGCATATGTATACATATATATATATATATATATTGATGTGTGTGTGTGTGTGTGTGTAAACACATGTTGATGTACTTATTATATGTTATTATGTCTATATATTCAGGAAGCCGGACAGAAAGTCGGGGTTGAGACATACCCAGCAACGAGTATGTTGAGCATGACAGTAGCTCCCACCGCGATTCCCGCCAACTCTCCCACCTGCATCATATGATGGAAATTTCATCTTACGATTTGGTCATGTTAGGAGATTCTGTTCCTTTTCTTTAATGTCATTTTCTAGTATTGATCTAGCCAATAGCCATGTAGGTGATGAAGCGTGTGTTATTTGTTTGACATAAAAATGAAAAACTTTTCCCGAAGGAAATATTAGTTTTGATTGCCCAATCAAAAATCCAAGTTTTTCTTTCTTATGCCTACTCCTATCATTCGTTGGTGTTTGATTAAAATTTTATTTGTTGAGTAGATAGGTTGACTTGTGTCCTAGAGAGTAGAGATATCGGATATGGACAAGATTGAACTAGGATTTGTTTATTATTATTGGAAATGGGACTTTGCACCATGACACCTATCGTCACTGACTCTTGTCGCTTTTTCAATATACTTAAAGAAATAATAATAAATAATAATAATAATAAAAAATAAATAAATAAATAATAATAATGAAAAGAATCCTGTATCCTGGAAAATCCTAGGAACGTGTGATCTAGAAGTAAATTTATTACAAAGTTGAATAAATATATTTTTGATTTTTCAATCAAATGTCGGTGTGTGTGTGTTACATTATTAGCATGTAGCATGTTATTATTATGATAATAATCACTGAATTGTTACAATTCATATCCCCACATGGGCTTTACCATTCATATATACAGCTGAATCAAGAGTATTATGAAATAAAGTAGTAATATGGTTATACTCACAGCTCTTGTATCGGTGGCCACACCAGTGACGACAAACATAAGGAAGAAGGTAATGAGGAACTCCAGAGCAAAAGCTTGGCCATGAGACCCAGAAGGAACCGTAACACCACCGCTCATTATGGGATGGAAAATCCACTTGAGCGCAAATGAAGCACACAAAGACGCCAAAACTTGTGCTCCAATATACACTGGCACCTGCCAATGTACAAATGAAATCATATCTAACATCAATCAAATGAACTTTTTATTTGGTTCTATTGGTTACATACATATTTCCAAGGGAAGTGCCTCAGAGCAGCAAAAGAAATGGTGATGGCCGGGTTGAGATGGGCTCCAGAGATGTGGCCGGTCGACAAAATGACAATCATGACAGCAAGGCCATTGGAGGCGGCAAGGCCGAGAAGGGTCTCAGACCCTCCTGTCTTTTGGTTCACAATGGCCGTGGCTGTTCCAGCAAAGATGAGTAACAGTGTGCCTATGAACTCAGCTCCCACCTGATCATAATCATCAGTTTTTGCCAGCAAAAATATAGTGAACAAAAAGAAAATGGAAACATCTGTTTGTTGTTGTTTTATGTATGTGTGCATATAGATTTATACGTATATAAATATACCCTTCTTGCAAGAGAGACAGGAGGTGGTGACAATATTGCACAAGAGACTTTTGGAAATACTGTGCCTTCCTCCATAGCCCAATCTTCAACGCTAAAACACTTGAAGCTCTTGAGGAGTGATTTCCTACTTGCATTCCCACCTCTGTCTTGCCTGAACCCGCCAAACAGAGGAGCGCCCGGCGTTCCCGGTGTTACAGGTGTTGAAGGTGCCGAAGGAACTTGATCCTGATCATTCTGATGATGATCCATAGTGGCTCCAAACTGGTCAAGTAAAACAACAAAGCAAAAAAAAAAAAAAGATAAATGAGAGACTTAATAATTATTAGCTTGAGCTTTCATACTTTGGTTTCACTTCTTTAATTTGTCTCTTTTTTGCTTCTTTGTAGAGGTTATGAGTGTTCCTAGTAATATTTATATAGTACTACTGAGATGCAATGAAGTTGACTTAGGGAATCCCAACGAAATTTATATAAAAAAGGAATAAGGGATCTAAATGGACGGTGAGACAATGAAGGAAACGCTTAGCAAATTGCATTTGTATATTTATATATTTATTTAAAGAAGGCTTTTTTTTTTTTTTTTTTTTTTTTTTTTTTTTTTTTTTTTTTTTCTTCTTTTACAAGGACATGAGACGTGAGTCATGGTTTTACCTTGTGACCTGTCTTTGCCACTCAGAGTTTGTTTGTTTGTTTGTTTGTTTGTTTTTTTAGCTTATTAATTACTTGTCAAATTATATTTCTATTTAAAAGTACTTTCCAATCTTATCAATATCATGGGTTTTTGTTTTTTTTTTGCACTCAATACTAGAATAACTAAGGTCAGTTTGAGTTCCTCATTTAAGGGGGGCGTTTCTTTCTTACGGATCAAAGAGTGTGAATGCGGTTGGAGCAGGCATGTGACTGTAAAGAAAGCAGAAATTTGCCACGCATATAGAGAAAAACACTCTTTGAATGTACATATATATTTGATAAATTGCGTGCATGGTTGGTGAATTGAGTGAAAAGTTTTCTTCCACTACTGTTTTCCTTTACCCCGGTACACGGAAGCAATCTTTTAGCTTGATTCATTGTGTGCTTATTTTTATGAACCAACAAATTAAATACCTATAGTTTCACTTTATATTGTCCTTCATTTTTTAGACGGACGAACCGGAAGTAATTTTCACTTTTTAATCAATTCTATAAGAGTGAAAGTTTTTTAATCATTAAAAGATCTTTAATTTATTTCCCCATTTTAATAGAGGTTATCGTAATTTCTCTTTGGTTTATCAGTCTAGGGTTGGGGTTATGTACATTAGTATGTTTTGCTTATAAATGATATATTTCTTCATCGAACTCAGGCTCATCATCAAGGTTTATAACTTAATTATAAGAGAAATTTCTAGAGTACTTTAATTAAAAAAAAAAATTGGAATATTTGTGGCCTTGAAATGTACAGGAGTAAATAAAATATTGAGTAAAACATTGTTCTCCTATCTTTATCTGCTTTTAAAGAAAACGACAATAATGAAAAAGTAAAATTGTGCATGAGAAGCGAAGGGTGGCTTCATCAAAGGGAAATAAAGGAAAATCATCTTACATAGAATATGTTCCCATGCTGTGAAAAGTTGCAAGGCATGACATAAACTACCGTATATATTTTGGGCGGTGGGAAAAACATTTCTTGTTTATAATTTGAATGTTCATGAATGTAGACAGTATACATATACGTATGTGTGCATATATATATATATATGTATATATGTACACACGCATGAAACAATAGCAATTGGTCAATCATATAAAAACAATATATATACCGATAAACAAATTTGTAGCTTCTTTTGACAACTAAAAGCAATATATATGGTAGGAAACACGCATGGAAATGCAGGAACCACATTTATATATATTCTCACATCTCTGCGATACAATAACTAACAACGAATAAATATGTACATATAAGCAAATAAATAAATATTTAATAGGAATCTTTGGGTGGAAAAAGAAAAAGAAAAGAAAAAAAAAAAAACAATTGTTATGTGAGAGTTGTGTGCGACATATACAATGGTTGCATAAGAATTAACCAGAACCACTTAAGCCAAGGGATAAGAATTAACCAGAACCACTTAAGCCAAGGGTATCAAATACATATACAGTACTAAAAAGGAAGATTCGGTGGTTGTCAATATTACTAGATATTGTTATATGTTGGGAGGTGTTTTAATTGGGGTATTATTGGTGCTTTTTATGGTTTCAATACACCGGAGATCAGGATCAAGCTAATATCTTGACTCTCTTTTCTAAATAAAGTGAAATAAAACCATCAAATCCATAGGGAGAACCATTGGAAAAAGACAATGCAACGAGTCATTCAGGAAGAATAATCATAGGGAGCACAAATTCCCTTTTTTCCTTATCTCTTTTCATGTGACCATGTACACCTTGACTCTTTTCCTTTTCTTTTGATCTTATGACTTCCAAAAAAAGACAAAAAAAAAAAAAAAAAACTATTGATTCCTTTATAGAAAAAGCTAACATTATTCTAACTATTCTTAGATGGCTACTCGTCCCAGTTCCACGAGGACTAAAAAGAGCTTAATTACCATTTATTATTTTATTCCTAAATGTGGGTTGTATAGCTTAATAATTGTCCTAATTAATGCATAAATACAACAAGTGTATCGGTCAAAATTTTACTTTGAGATTTTTACACATAATCTCGGTTCCGGCCTAATTTTGTTTATATTGAGGGGGACACCATTTTCTAGGGTTAAGAGAGCCGTGAAAGAGATTAGAAAAAACATCACTATTATAATTTGGGTTATTTGTGACGACAATTATCATCGTAAATAAATAAATATTTGCAGCGACATGTCGTCGCAAAAATTTTCAAGCTAATAAATCTGAAAGTTGCTGCAAAACCAAATATCAATAGATAATCAATTTCCAAACACTAGAAGGCGCAAAGAGACTGAGATTCGCAAATGATACCTTGCAATTCAAGCCAAAACTAGTCTACCATTGCCAATTCTCCTTCTCTTCTACCAACATTTTTATGGAGCTCTCCATTTGTTGCTGCTGCAATTTAGAATCTTCCAACCTTGCCTTTGAACAGAGAAAGATATTTGAGTATAAGTTTCCAATACGATCCAATTTTACCTCTCATTCTCATATATAATGGAAAGAAAAGTAAAAGCTAAACAACAAAGGAGAGAATGTCTTACAAGGCCTGAAACCTCTTCCTGTAACAAATTCAGTTTGGAGTTCGAAATATTCAACTTTTCAGACAAAACTACTAATTCAAAAGCCAAATATCATCAATCTAATAGTCAATTACAAATATATTTACACACATATATGTACGAAACGAGAAAATCTAACAATCAAAGATGTTATACTACATATGCAGAAGAATTAAACATAACTTTAGTTACTAGTACTGTCTTATCAAAAGAACCAGTTAGTCCTTTTGACTTTTTTAGGTCACACATCTTTGAACTCTTATCTATAATTGAATCGCGCCTTCTACATGCAAATGACTCACACCTGTTAATATCATGTTCAAGAAGAGAATTCTGACATTCGAACGTTCTATTTCTTATTCTGTAAATGCTTTCTTGCCCTAAGAATGTGTAGAGAATTAGTTCAAGATAAATATTGGAATTGAAAAAATAAGTTGATTGTCTAGGTACGCAATATTGAACCTCAAGTTTGGTTTTCTCCTGCATTACATTCTTAAGTTTAAACTCTATCTTTCAGCTTCATTTTTGTTTTGTCAATATCTTTTGTCAATATTTCCTTCTCCTTTGCCAAGGAACATGATGAAAAACTTGATATTTCCCTTTCAAGACTTTGAATATGAGAAAGATAGTCTTCCTTTTCTAAATCTTGTTCTTTCAAAAGTGTGTGGAATAACATTAAAGATGAAGTCAGAAAAGAGCATGACTTTACCTACGATGCACATAAACATGTTTATCAATAACACATATTACATATGTAACTTACTCTCAAAGACTTCTCAGAATTTTGAGCTTGTACTTTAAGTTCTTCATTTTGGTTATGGAGATCAACTGATTGCCAACACAAAAGAGACTGCAGCCAAATAGTTAGGATGTTTTTCAATAAGAGAAGAAAGTAATCTTAATCTATATCACATTATACATGATCACACCTTCTCATTCTCAAGACTAGAAAATTTCTGCATCAAGCAAGAGTTTAGCTTCTCATGATTACTAGTACTTGACTTTTCTTGAAGATTACTCTGACACATGAAAGCGTTGAAATCCTGTATTGAAACAAATAGTATTCAACCTTTAGGCAATCATAAGATAGAACAATGGATATAAACTTCAGAAAACAAAACGAAAGGAAGAAAATTTAACAGCTTAAGGCTCTTGCCTCTTAGACAGTAGCTAGTAGAATAATCATTACAAGATGTTTCAAGAATACTCACAAGGAATATCTCAATTCGGGCAGAAAAAGTATTGGAGACCTCATCCAGAATTGCAGTCATACTCTCACTAACCACTTTTGAGTGAACAATTAAACCTTGTGAAAAACATAGAAAGTTGACATGGAAAATGTACCAAGAAAGAATGAACTAATCTCTCTGACAAGAACACAAGCATGCACAATACGTTCACACACATTGAAATCTCAAACTAAATTGGCTAGAATCGGGACACAAACTCTACAAGGAAGATGTAATTTAATACAAGAAAATTCCAACCAAAAGCATCTTGCATATGCAACACATCGCCTGCTCTGCACCTTCAAGGACCAAATTCACCAAGTATCTGACATGTTGGTAACCAGAGCCATAGTAGTGGCCACCAACACCTTTTCAGCCCACATCGTTTATCAACAAAGAGCCCTTCAATTTGAATTTGCTTCAATAAATTCAAAGAGCCTATTTTGTTGAGAGAGAGAGAGAGAGAGCAAGATAATTTCTCCATAGTAGTCTTATTATGGTGGAAAGGACAATACACAACAATATAGATGAACACAGAAAGATCATACAATATCACCACAACATGTGAAGGAACTCAGATGGGTGGTGTGATGATCCAACGAAGAAACAGGTTAGCTTCTGGAAGTAAGAAATTGAAGTTCTAGCTCATAAATGTTCAAATGTTTGTCATATTTTAAATGAAAAACATATATATTCCATCACATAACGCCAATAATGAACTCAAACCTTACCTCTTCGAACTTCTCTTCGGCGCGGACGCACATGCTTAGCTTTGTTACCAGCTCAACATCACTGGCCAGATTTTGCTGGCTTGAAGCCTTCTCCAGTTCCAACATCGTGTTTGGTATGGGGATTCGTGTCATGGTTCGAATCATGGTTCGTGGCTCGTTACAGTGTTTTCTCTCATAAAAACACATGTAAATCGAGAATGGTTCTGAATCATGGTTCTGAATTCGTGAATTAAACATCCACTTAATCTGCAAGATTGAAGATAGATAAAGATGGCAAATACTACAGTAAAAGACAAGACATCTATCTTAAAACAGTACTGGCTACACATT